ATAGATAATGTCTTGCTTGTTAAAGGTCTTAAACACAATCTCTTGAGCATAAGTCAATTATGTGACAAGGGAAACCGTGTGACCTTCGATTCAAAATCATGCACTGTAGAACGCCTTAGTGACAATAAGGTCATTCTACGTGGTGATAGAATCGATAACATTTATATGGTTAACTTAGACAAATCTCCTTCCGGCTTTGCTAAGTGCCTCATGAGTAAAGAGGAAGACACTTGGCTATGGCACCGAAGGGTAGCTCATATGAACATGAACCTTTTGAACAAATTGGTTTCACAAGACTTAGTAATTGGCATCCCAAAACTTAAGTTTGAAAAAGACACCATATGTGATGCATGTCAAAAGGGGAAGCAAGTTCGGGCTTCGTTTAAGTCTAAAAACGTTGTTTCAACGTCTAGACCGCTTCAACTTTTGCACATGGATCTCTTTGGTCCTTCTAGAACGAAAAGTTTTGGTGGCAATTACTTTGCGTTTGTGATTGTCGATGACTACTCTAGGTTTACATGGACCTTGTTTCTAACTCATAAAAGTGAGGCATTTCATGTTTTCAAAAATTTCTTAAAGAAAGTTCAAAATGAAAAAGAAACAACAATAGTAGCCATAAGAAGTGACCATGGGGGAGAGTTCGAAGGAAATCTGTTTTCAGATTAGTGTGACGAACTTGGCATTGATCATAACTTCTCAGCCCCACGTACACCACAACAAAATGGAGTGGTGGAACGTAAAAATAGATGTCTCGAAGAGATGGCTAGAACTATGATCAATGAGGCAAAAATCCCTAAGTATTTTTGGGCGGATGCCGTGAGTACCGTGAGCTACGTGTTAAACCGAGCTGTCATTCGACCGATACTCATGAAAACGCCCTATGAACTATACAAAGGGAGAAAGCCAAACCTTTCCCATCTTCGAGTCTTTGGTTGCAAATGTTTTATTCATAACAATGGTAAAGACAATTTAGGCAAATTTGATGCTAAGTCAGATGAAGGAATTTTTCTGGGTTACTCATTACGTAGCAAGGCCTATAGAGTCTTCAATAAACGCACCTTGACTATTGAGGAGTCTCCTCACGTTGTATTTTCCGAAGATAACCCTCGCTTGGCGAGAAAGGATATTTGTGATGATCTTGCAGATTCATTAGAGAGAATACACGTTGATGACGATGAGGAGAACACGGGAATTTACACCAACACACAGCCACAAACTGAGGAAATACCTCAAGAAAATAACCAAGGTGATGATGAAAGACAAGTGGAAGAAGAAGAACAAGAGGAACACGAAGAAGAAGAAGCAACCGAGTTTCCTATTGCATGGAGAACAAACAAGAACCATCCGCTTGACCAGGTAATCGGTAGCATCAACCGCGGGGTAAGTACTCGTAACTCACTTAGGGACACCGTAGGACACATGGCTTTTGTCTCTCAAATTGAACCTACAACCATTTCCGAAGCAATAAACGATGAACATTGGACCTTGGCTATGCAAGAGGAGCTAAACCAATTCAAACGAAATGACGTTTGGGAATTGGTGCCAAGACCCGATGATCGTACGGTTATTGGTACGAAATGGGTGTTCCGTAACAAACTCGATGAAAATGGAATAATCACTAGAAACAAATCTAGGCTCGTAGCTAAAGGCTACAATCAAGAAGAAGGCATTGATTTCGAAGAAACTTATGCACCTGTAGCACGTTTAGAAGCTATTCGTTTACTTCTTGCTTTTGCTTCGTCTATGGATTTTAAACTTTATCAAATGGATGTTAAGAGTGCCTTCCTCAATGGTTTTATTCAAGAGGAAGTGTATGTTGACCAGCCCCCGGGGTTTGANGCAAATTGGACCGCAAAAGTACAAGTGGGACTTGCCACTTACTTGGTAGTTCTTTAGTTTCATGGTTTAGCAAGAAACAAGTCAGTGTTGCGTTATCCACAACCGAAGCGGAATACGTTGCCGCCGGTAGTTGTTGTGCTCAAATCCTTTGGATGAAGCAACAACTCGTGGACTATGGCCTTAGTATCAGTCACGTTCCTCTTCGTTGTGACAATACTAGCGCCATTAGCTTGACGAAGAACCCCGTTCTTCGTTCAAGGACGAAACACATTGACATTAGGCACCATTTCATTAGAGATCATGTTCTCAAAGGTGATGTCGAAATTGAGTTTGTTGAAACACACAACCAATTAGCCGACATTTTCACAAAACCTTTAGAGAAAGAGTCGTTCTTCCGCATTCGTAGTGAACTCGGAATCCTTGACTCCACGATGATCTAATTTTGTGCATTTTATCATTCTTTTATTATTACTGGAACGTTTACTAACTTGAGCGTCGGAGGGTTTTCTAACTCTTTTTTGCAGGGACGGTTCGAAGTGAAGAATTCTGGAAATCAGGGGGAACCAGCGATGGGTGGACTATACCATCGCTGGGAGGGAAGTTTCTTTTTTTCCAGAACCCCACTTCCCATCGATGGGTGCTTCCTCCCATCGATGGGTAATTGGCTCTTTTTTTTAAAAACCTTTTAACATATTTCCAGAAACACCCTACCCATCGATGGGTACTTCATCCCATCGCTGGGTGACGGACTTTTGTCAAAAACACTTTTTCCAGAACCTCCCCTCCCATCGATGGGAACTGTCTCCCATCGCTGGGTGTTTGACACTTCTTTTTTAAACGTTTTAACGGATTTCCAGTAGCCACCCTCCCATCGATGGGTGAGTGTGACCATCGATGGGAAGGCAGCCTTACTTTCTCCTTCGCTTTCTAGTGTCGACCTTCCCATCGATGGGAAGACCTACCCATCGCTAGGAAGTCTGCTGCAAATTCAAATTTTTTAACCGTTGGACACCCCATTTATTGCCCAACAGCTATGTTTTTTGAATCCAAACGGCCAAATCCTCTTGTTCCTATATATATCCACCATATTTGTTCATTCTAATACACCATTAACACAATAATTTCATTCCTTGATCCTTATCTCAATATTTCATCTTCTTTTATTCAAAAACGCTGCTATGGCCGGAGGAAAATCCAAGAGCAAGGCCTCCAAGAAGAAGACCGCCGCTGAGGCCACAAGCTCTGCGCCTCAACCCTTCCCGTACCTGGACGGATCCTTCTTGGAGTTCGGGTCAGTAGAGGAACTCTCTCGCTTCATCACCCACTTCGCCAAGCGCCCCATCTCTCCGCCAAGGGTGCTACCTGAGCTATACCCTCAACAGAAGGGTTACTACGACCTTGACAATCAACTCAAGGAGTCGGGTCTGTGGCCCTTCGTCTCCCGTAGTCGCACCTCCTTCAATCCCGCCTACGTTCGGGCTTTCTACTCCAATCTCCGCCGGGACGGGGACACTATTCGCAGCAGCATCAATCTCGTGGACTTCGAGTTTGGTGGCGATGATTGGATCCTCAACAACGAGGCGGTGGTCATCCGAGAGCTGGGAATCACCAACCTTGTCCGTCACAGCGGCGCACCAACCATTCACTCAGCCCCGCCGGAGAAGCGCCTTCTACTCTACATCCTCACCCGGATTCTTCGCCCCCGGGACAGTAGCCACACGTGTCTCTTCAACGAGGATCTCAAGGCCGTTCATGCAATCACCCATGGTGCCTCGATCAATTGGGCGAAATACGTCATGATCCACATGGAAGATTGCGCCTCAATCGCCACCGAAAGGAGTTTGCCCTACGCCTTCCTCGTCATGGATCTCATTGTCGCGGCCGAAATCCACATCGCCGGCCCGGACACGAAGATGACAAAGATTTTGATCATCCAAGATAGCACCTTCCGGAAGAAGTCCGGAGACCAAGACGGCGCCGGCCCAAGTCGTGCCCGTGCACCAGCCCGTGCCCCTGCCCCGCTCCCGCCCGAGCCTCGTTGCAATCCATAGCCGATACTCTGAATCGGCTAACCCTCACAGTGGATGGCATGGGGCAGTCAATCGAGCGGATGGATTGGACACTGCAACGTCAACACCATGACATGACGGCGTTCTTCTGTGGCATCAACTACGTCCCGCCGCCCTTTGACAGCACCATCCTCGGCCAAAACTATGAAGGCGAGGACGAGGAAGATGCCTCCTATGCTCCGTCCTCCTCCCCCGACGAGGCCGATTTTGAGGACGCGGTCGACGGGGATCCCATGGACGTTGAGGACGACGAAGAAGACGATGACGCCAATGCCTAGACTCTTCTTTCTTTTCCTTCCTTACTATGATTGTCTTTTTCTTATATTATTTCCATTCCGTTGTATTCCGCATTTTCTCCTTTTTAATGAATAAATGTTTACTTTTATACTCTAAAGTTCACTTTTAATTCTTTTTGTTAATGTCAAAAGGGGGAAGATATCAAGGTTATGCATAAATTGAGGGGGAATTATTTTTTCAAATAAAATGGCATCTATTAAGGGGGAACACTTTTTTAAAGTCTCAAAGACTTCCTCATATGCATAACCTCATCTCGTTTGTCATTATCAAAAAGGGGGAAATTGTTGAAACACGGGCATTGTTGAAACACGGGTTTATCGTGTTTTCGTACTAAAGCCGTGTTCGTTTTTATGACAGGTTTTGATAATGCCAAACCGCCGTGAACGAGACAAGTTGTTGAATATATTAGGCGAGAAATAAATATAAGAAGAAAGCAAGAGAACAAGAGCTAAAAGTGACCAAGAACGAAGACCGTAGTCTTTAGTGTCGTTGAGTCGGTCACAATGTGATCAAGACCGACCCAAGCTTTGCACTTTGGCTCTTTAGACTAAAACATTTTTTATTGCATTTTACATATCATAAAAATTGTTTTCAAACATGCTTAAACATATTAAAAACACTTGGTGTTCGCCCAAACAAAAAACCAAGCCATCCGGCGTTCGGGTTTCAGAAACCGGCGTTCGGCATTCGGTTTTCGGCGTTGGTTTTTGGTGTCCGAACCAACCAAGTGGTTTTCAACTTTTTATGATTGTTTTTTTACTTCTGGGCACATTTAAATAGTTTTCCATAAAAAACACTTCAAAAAACCACCTTTCATTTTTTGTCGTTTGATAAAAACCACGCGAAACGGCATAAACTTGGCTAGCCGTGGTTTTTACTTAAACGAAATGGTTTTCAAGTCTTTTTGTATGGGAATTGTTTTTGAATGCATTTAAATGGTTCTACAATCAAAACATCATGAAAACCACCTTTCGGTTTTGTCTTTTGGCGAAAACCACCCGTGTACGGTGTTGACTTGGTCAACAATTGTTTTTTACCTTAACGACGTGGTTTTCAACTTACAAAGCTTGTTTTGACATCAAAATACATTAAATAAGTGTTTTATATACTTAGTTTTTACTTTGGAGAACTTTGCATTTTTCGGTCGGGTTTCAGCGCCGGTCAGCTAGGCCATGGTTCTGGGCTAGCCATCTACCCAGCGATGCTAGATTTCACCCATGCATGGGTAAGTGATCCCGGGATTCCAGAATCATGTCACCCAGCGATGGGAAGATCTTCCCATCGATGGGTAAGCAGTCCCTTAGCCAAACCAATTTCCATCGATGGGAAGTTTTACCCATCGATGTTAAAGCCTTGGTGCAACATTACCACAAGGCAGAATGCCCTTACCCAGCGATGGGAAGCTTTACCCATCGATGGGAACCCAGCAATGGGAAGGCTTAACCATCGATGGGAAGGCATGACCGTTGGGAGTCATTTAAGGCTGATTCTTTCCTTATTTGAAAGTCAACCTCCCACCCAGCGATGGGAAGCATTTACCCATCGATGGGTAGGTAACCGTTGGCTTCAAAACTGAAGGAAAATTGGCTTACCAGCGATGGGTAAGTCCTAAACATCGATGGGAAGCCAATATTCTGCAGATCCCAAATCTTTTCAATCCCAT